GAGAAGCATATTTTTGGAAGCTGTGCAAATCATTTCCTTGCTTCTGCATTTGCATTATGATTTCTGTAGCAAATGAGCTCATGAGCGCTAGGTAGTACTGAGTGGTCATGGCCTGCTGAAAATTCAAAAGCCAGAAGAATCACTGAATCAGTTGCAGCCTTCCAGGGACCTTCACACTGCAACTAGAATCAGTTGTGCAGAACCAGTGAGTGACATGATGTACATTTTGCCCAAGGATCAAGCATTGTATTCAATTCCCAGAGTTTGGCTTCCCTGGGCCCGGAACTTGGCTTATCAGAGGGGAAGAAATATATGCAGCCTTGACCGTTCCTTGTTGGTTTTGCTCATGGAGCCCAGGGCAAACAAAACTGATATGGAAGATTGTTTCTTGACCACTTCTCTTTCTCTCTCCCTTTAAAGGAATGAGGCATTCCCGTTGCAGTAAGCTTTAAAAATGCCTTTTGACAGACTTCTATCATGTTTTCTTCTTCAACCCCAATCCATAGTTGTCCTTCCATGAGAATATATCCCCCTTTGTCTCCTGTGGGCTATTCTTAACCCACCCTCAATGCCTCTTCTCACTGGGCAACAAACTAAGCCGATGAAACCGCTTACAATGAAATCAAAAGCGAGCTCCCATATCCTTTTCTGCATAAAAACTGCTCTAACTCTGGAATGCATGCTGTTGCTTTGACCTAACATGCATGGAAAGTTCTGCCAACTCTCCTCTGCCTTTGCTTCTCCTGCACAATAGAAAGCATGGCATTGCCACCTGAAGACCTCCTCCCCAGCAGATGTGGGCTTGAGGAGCCATGGTTGCATTCATATGGTTATAAACTTGGAGGGGCAAGGATGTGAGTTTTGCAAGGAAGACGTGGCAGGAGGGAGGCTTGTGTGTGTCTCGAGCTCCCAAGACAGTTTCCAATTCTTTTGGCAGCAAAATGGAGTGTGGGTAGAAAAGAATGGCAGGGAATTAGTTTTCAGCAAAGAAAAAGGGGTGAGGACCAGTGGCCTGAGAGTGGAAGACTAGAATATGAATCCCTGCTCAGCTGTGGAAACCCACTGAGTAATGGTGGGCAAGTCATACTCTCTCAGCTTTAGAAGCAACCACAGTTGAATAAATTTCCCATAGAGACCAAATTTTTAGAGCCAGTGTGGAGTAGTGGTTTGAGTGTTGGACTAGGACTTGGGGAGACCAGGGTTCAGATCTTTGCTGAGCTGACCTTGGGCAAGTCAGTCACTCAGCCTTGGAAGAAGGCAATGGTGGCAAATCTCTTGAATAAATCTTGCCAAGAGAACTTTATGATAGGGTTGCCATAAGTCAGAGCTGACATGAAGGCACACAACAGCAACTACAACAGCAGAAAGAAGGGCACCATCAGTTCCCCACTGCAAGCCACACTCTTTCTCACTGCCATTTTGGAGCTCTTTGGCTATAGTTGGGTACCTGGTGAATATCTAACTCTGTCCCCCGGTCATCTTTTCAGAGCTCTTGAGTTCCATGGGTTGCTTGCATGCCTTCCTGGCCAAGAAGTTCAGGGGCCACTTGGGAAAATTTGGGCCGGGTGAACAATCGAGGTGGTTCCAGTGCACACAGCTGACCATCCAAAATGCCCCTCTTGGCATAACCCATACCCAGCCCTCCTTCCTTGACAATTACAGTAACCATGCACTCTATGCAGGGATGTGATTCTGGAGTTTTGCAATGATTACATTTTATTTTGCTGATGATTTATGTTTTTGTTTTGTTTTCTTTTAGAAATCTTGGAATGATTTTTTATTTTTATTTGTGGGTTGGGGAAGGGAAAAACATGATTTTTCTGTTCATTCATATCCCAGCTTTCTTTTCTTTCAGGTCTTGTTGCTCTCCGCCTTCTCCTGCTGTGTGACGTGTCCGCCTTTATACTCCGCCTGCTTCGCTACCATCTCATCTAAAAAAACCAAACACACACAAAAATCGAGCTGTAGATAACTCAGTGGTGCAATTCCCATCCACGAAAATTCAGTCCGCCCCCCTTTGAGCAAACAGGATTTCCCTCCAGATCTTCCACGTTTTGGCCAAGCCAAATGTTAATTTTGTTAAAGGCTGAAAATTTGAAGTGCCAACTTTGAAAAGCATTCAGGTTGGGAGAGATTTTTTCACACAACTCTACATTTCCACTTTGACTGCATATCCCATCCATATTCCAACAAATTTTGCCTCTGGCAGAATTGAGATGAAAAGTAGAAACCGATATTGTAAAAAGCAAGTAAATGGCTGCTTCCCATTTAAGATTTATGACCAAGGTTCAAATCCAGAGAACCAGATGTATGAAGAAGGAGGTGGATGCAGGGTCCCTTTTTGAAAATTTGCTATCTCCAGTAGCTTGTGCCCCCCCCCCCGGATTTGTCTCTTCTTCAGGTGTCTTGGTGTGGGTTTGCTTGGGTTGCTTTTTCCTCTCTGTGCGTGGCATGCTGTGGTCCTGATCCCAAAGCCCAATCTCAAAGGGGGTCCAGACAACGCAGCAGGCCAGCAGAAAAGCCCTGGGGCTCACAGACTATGCAATACCTACCTCCTCTGTAGAATCAGGCAGGAAATCAACATTAGTTCAAGAGGAAAAGATAGAACAAACTGTGGATTGTCTGAAGTATACAGTGTCTTGGCATGGGCTTGATATAATATATGTGTGTGTGTTTGTGCAAGTGTAGCACATAATTATACCCCAAATCCCTCCCATATCAAATTCCTTATCCCTCCTATATCAAATTCCTTATTTTCTATCCATCCCCTATGTAAAACTGAATAATAGTCCTATACTGTAAGAATGAAAAATATTGGCATTTTAGTATTTTAAACATGCCCCCTCATGAGAGGGAGGAGGGGAGAACTGTTTTTAAGGACGATAGTTGTTTCTGTTTGTTAAAACAGTCTTTTCTCCTCTTGACTGTTTTGCAGGAGGTCCCAAGTAATTGAAAAATTTGAGGCATTAGATATTGAGCATGCTGAACATATGGAGACCAATGCTTCCACCAGCGAGACTCGACAGGGCAGGAGCGAGAAGAGGGTTTTCCCCAGGAAACGGGTAAGACTGCAAACTACGTCTCTCTCCACTTTGATCAGAGATCTCTTTTTTCCCCCTGTGGGTATATATCCAGGTGCCAGAGCTGAATATAATTGCCAGGTCTATTTCTTCCGTAGGATTTCTACTATCATTCACAGCAGTTTGCCACACTTATTGTTAGCATAAATGCATTAAGCAACCCAGCTTTCAGGGTACATTTTAAGAAAATTTTACACACTGCTTTACAGTCTTTGATCTAAAAAAATGTGATCTGTAAAACTAAACAGAAATATGTAGACCTTTCTTGGTTCACAAGCCAGACTTCTGGCGTGAAAAGTTTGTAGAAAGGAGCTTCTGTATCAGAGGTTTTATTAACTGAAGTGTGCATGTAATTTGTTTTTAAAAGCCCTCTTTGAGAATGCCTCTGTTCCTTGGGGAGTTTAATGCCTGCAAAAGAATGGAAGTGGTTTCTTTACAGTGTTCTGGTGGACTGTTGGACCCTTCCAAGTATTAATCCAGCAGTAGAATTTGCAATTGCAAATTAAGTGTCTTTGTGACCTCTATGCTTTTTGCAGGACTTTGTTGCCGAAACGGCAACCAGCTCCATCCTGGATATGTCAACTTCCCCATTGTCCCCGCACCGTAGAGCGAAATCACTGGATAGAAGGTCTACAGAGTCTTCCATGACGGCAAGTCTTTTGTGCTTCTGTACTAAAGCAAACTGGGGAAGGGCTGCAAAGATGGAGACACCTCTTTTTCTAGCTTTCCTCTGCAGGAAAATGCTGCACTTTGAATATGAAAGCAGATTGCTGATAAGGCAGATTTTGAGAGCTGATATTGTGATTGCAAGCTAATTGCTCCCTCCAAGGCTGAGAAAGAGTAGCTGAGCAGGAATTCAAACCCTTGTCTCTCAGAGGCCTAGTCCAACATTCAGGCGACTACACCATGCTTGCTGGGCCTCAGTTCTACTCTCTGATACTTCTTTTGGAAAGCTCACAGGTAGTACAGCAGGGAAAGGGATCTTGGAGAACTATTTGTCAGGGACCAATTGAGTAAGCTCAGGCTGAAAGAGACCTTGGAGAACTGTTGGACAGTTGGAAGATGCCTGGACTCTGCTCAGGCCTTGCTTCTTGAGAGTTATTTTAATAGAGAAAAGGTAGATGTAGCCTGGGATCTCCACATGCATGTTGTTTGCCCCACTCTTAGCAGGTGCCCAGTCCTATTCAGAAACTGGTTTTTCTGGTCTTCATTGAAGAAACCTCTCCCTCCCTTTCACACGTAAAAACTATTTCATTCTCACCTAGACTGGTTCACTCTTTTCATGTTTTTTTGCCCAAGTTGCAGATTAGTGCTGGTTATGTGCATCTTCTTGGTTCTTGGTTTGAAAACTGTGAGCTAATGTCTTAGCTTTTCAAGTTCAGCAGGAAACCTTCTAGCAGCAGCTGATCTGTCTGTGTAAAGGGGAAGGGATTCGATATTATTTATCAAGAAGTTATACAGGGTACGATCAGCAAGGAAGTCTTACTGATGGCTTCCTTCGAGCAGGTTTTTGTGAAAGACAGTCACTTTGTGGTGACAATTTGTTTGGCCTTTCTTTCCTTCTGTTTGCAATTCTCTCTCCTGCTTCAAGACTGCTCTGAAGACTGGGTTGGCCTTATCAGAGTGGGACATTTATCAGCAGGCGAGTCTTTCCATGCCTGTTGCACAAGACGTCACGTTTGGCACTCTGCAATGCTTGTGATTTTTTTCACATGGGTGTGTAGCACTTGGAATGGAATGGGAAAGGCAAATAACTTGCCTCTCACTCTGCTCCCTTCCCCATCCTTTCTGTGTCTGTTTTGTCTGGAGAGGTGTGTCTCACAATTGAGTCTTAAGCACACAGCTTTGATTTTGATTAAGCAGGTAATTTTAATAACTGAATTATGTAGTAAGTAAAACGTGAGGCGACAGGTCTAAGAAGGGAATTTAGCACAGTGACAGAGATAATGCTTCATATACAAATGGTCCCGGGTTCAATTCCCAGCATTTCCCAATAGGGACCGAGATATATTAATTGAAGATCTGCTGCCAACCATTTCAGACCAGCGCTGCTCAAGTGGTCCATGGACTGTTCCCTCTGTATGAGCCATCAGCTGCTGATCCCTGCAGTTTCCAGGAAACAAATATACAGTGGTAGTCTATGAACACAAACATGGTAGCAGTCACTCACACATTAGGCAAAAAGCTGCTGGTCCCCCACATGAGAGCCTGAGAAGCACTGATGTAGGCAGTAGTGCTAGACAAACCAGTGTTCTGACTCAGTATTAGGTAATTTCCTAATCCTTTCTGAGAGCATCTTCAAATGATGCTTTTGTCAACCCGTCATTAATTTTAGGGGTGTACATAACATGCTTCCACAGGGAGTTGGCACTCCTTTTGCTCCGCTTGCAGTATGTATTTTGTAGTTCATTTGATCTCTGCTTTTGCTGACAGTGGCATCTCAGGCACTGACAGAGAGCAACATGGACCACTTAGCACTCACACCTGGACCTCTCCTTGCCTGGAAATGGTACTTCCAAGGAAGTTGCACGTGCATGCATGGACACTTAAAGCATAGTTACCTGGCCACCTTGACACACAATTGATTGCCCAACCAATGTGATCCACCAAAAAGCACTGTGCTGATGTCACTTGGAATTATTGTCTCTAGTATGTTTTGTCCTCCATTGATTGCCACCTCCAAATGATCACTTAATGTTGGTACTCACCAAATGGTTCAGATTCGTTTGCAGCAGTCCCAAGTGCATGGATATCCTGATACCCAGTGGGGAACACTTGTGAAGGTAGAATCTGGAACAGCTGGAGATGTATAGCTTCTTGTTATTTTCTGTAATCCTTTGGCGATGCCAGAAATGATTCACAGGAGAAAGGAAGGTTCTGTGGCTGCTTAAGGCTCTTACACCCTCATTGGGTGGAAAGGGGATGTGTAGGTGTGACTGCCAACTATGAGATACCAAAGTTTATGCTGTTTGAGCTGCAGGGGGCACCAGAGCCACCTTTTCCTTCTGGGTGCCAAAATCCTTCCAAATCTGCAGGTGACTCTTCTTATGGAGGGATTGTCTCTTTGCATCCGGTGTGTCTGTCCCACAGGATCATATTGCTGTATCTCCGGAACAGGAGGCTATTTCTGTGGCTGTGAGAGAGATAGCATTCAGAGATTGTGTGTGTAACATATTTTTAGGAGGGGGGAACTGGTTTTGAAAGGTGGAACTCACTCCTTCCCTCACCCCCTTGGTCCTATGTTAAGTAGACGGATCAGGGCTCCTTTGTCTTAAAGCTTTGCTGCTTGATCTGAGATCCAGAACAAGAAATCCCAGCATAGATGATTTCACATTTCACAGTGGCAAATCGGCATCTGTCCCATGATGGTAGCAAGGCTATTGTTGAAGTGGGAGAGGTATACAGGAAGACAGCCAGGATGATTGAATGACTGGAGCATCTTCTTGAAGGAAAATCAAAACGTTTATGGGAATTGAGGGAAGGAAGCAGTAAAGGTTTAGAAATATGCATGGCATCCATAAAAAGGATTACTTTTTCAGAAGGTGCATCTTCAGACAACACCAGTTTTATAGATGTTGTCTAGAGATAGTGTGATCGTGGTCACTGGCGTAGACAGATTTCACAGGGACTTGGGGAGTTCTCTGTGGCATCCAGCTAGCTGCTGTGGGAAACTGGTTGCTAAACCAAATGGACCTTCAGTCCGATCTAGCAGGCTTCTTGTTATGATACCCATCCTTCAAGTTTCAGCACTGGTGCAGAGCCACTTGCAAAGCTTGCCATATTGATCGCACTGACCTGTGACCGGTGGGCTTCTGTGCAGTCAAACATTGAAAATGACACACTTGCAGACTAACTGCCAAACCTTCTGGAAGTATTTTCACAAGGGCCAGCCAGTATTCCCTGATCACTTGGGGTGAGTGTTTCTCTCACACCTTCCACCATGTATGGCGATGGGAAGGACTTCCTTTAAAAGTCACAACTTGCCTTAGGGGTAGTACTGCTTCCAAAGAAACCTGACTATGCAGGGTCTATTAGATGCTATGCACTGTCTCTCTCTCTCTCACACACACAGCCAAATGTCTAGTGTATTTTGAGGCCTCGTAAATAGGAACTCGTTCAGTAGCTTGAATCCCACCATCCATGTGACTTCCAGCTGCCAGCCATGCCCAGCAGAGTTTATAAATAAAAGCCAGAGAATTGAGAAAGAAGACCTTGAAGACTCTGTGAATTGGCAGATGAATAGGGAACTGCATGGATAAGGTAGGCCTACACACACACACACACACACACACTCTTACATATACCTATTGGGTCTTCTGACTTGAGGTGCAAACACTGAGTAGTTCTTTACTCATTAGGTTTCTACCACACCAGGATTTCTCTGCTGGTGGATTTTCATTATTGGGTTATTAGCAGCATTTCTAGAATTCCAGAGGCGATACTTGCTGGGTGGTGCTTGCAACTGTGCCCCGTTCCTGCTTGAGTCCAAAGACATCTTTGCATGATTCTTATAATTTTCCTTGTTCTTCATTTTGATTCACTCTTAAGGCTTGTTCCTTACCTGAGTGGAAACAGAGCAGCATCTTTTGTTGGTAACTTTGCCTCCTCCTTTGGTGTGCAGGACTGCAGGCAGGTTGGACTAGAAGACTGCGGTCGGACCAAGCAAGAGGTTTGATAGCAAAATGGGTGTTTGCGTGTGATTATGTAAGGGTTTTAGGACAAAATACTGGTTCTAGTTTGTGGGGACCAAGAAAGTTGTGAACGTTTAGGAGGAAGGTCTTCAGAAACCTTGGGAATGGTCACATATCCTAATATGTAACTTACAACCTCTTTCCCTGTAGCTCAGGTAATTTTGCTTCTATCAGCAGCAAGTAGATTGCATAATGGCTCTGAATTTTGATGACTGCAAAGTTGACATCCAGATGTGGATAACAGATATTGTCTTGCTAAAGAGGGTAGGAAGGGTTTGGGTTTCTAACCTAAGAAGAGCTGTGCTTTTTTGATGGAACGTATTGAAATAAAAGGCTAGAATGTGGTTTGAAATGAATGTCCTAGGATTATATCCATTACAGAGTCTAGTGTTAAAAATTTCCAAATACTGATCATGGCGGCCGATTCCTCCATTGTCAGTACATCCAGATCTTGTTCAGCTTGTCTTGCTCAGCATTACTTTTTCAGAAGGTGCATCTTCGTAATAAAAGCTACTTCAGATAACATGATGGTGAAATTCTTGCCTTTTATCCTTGGAATGTGGAAATTAAAGAAACTGTCATGATGAATCTGTAACAATCCTCCTTAAAAGGGGAGCATCTGGGGTGGGGAGCACTTGCTCTTTGTTTTGTAAAAGGAATGAACTCCCACAATATATGGACAGTCTTTGTTTTCCTTCCAAAACCATTTCCAGGACCATAGGATCTCAGTGAGGTTTGTCTGTAGTGTCATTCTGTGATAGAGATGGTTTTAGAAACAGTATATAGTCTTAATTAATTGAGTAAAAGAATCAGATCTTCTGAGAGATCCTTTTTTGATGTAGTTCAATACTTTCTTTCCTTATACAAATTTATTGCCTGGATAAGGAAGATACCAGGATTTCATTTATGTTCAGATTTGCATTAGGAAAATGACTGCCTGGGTGTTTTTCCTTCATTACAGTTGTGCATCACAGTCCAGTTTGAGTTTTGAGGAGAACTCTAGATTTTGCTCTTCTCTTTGCAGCCTGACCTGCTGAATTTCAAGAAAGGGTGGCTGACCAAGCAGTATGAAGACGGACAGGTAAGCCTTGTGTGAAAGCCTAATGTCATTTACTGTTGCAGAATGTGGTGCATCTTGCAGATAATAACCTTTAAAGCCTTTTCTGGCTTCTCCTCAGGGAAGTAGAACAGACCCTTCTCTGTGCTTTATTATTTTGTGTTTAGGCTTCATCCATCTTTGTGCAGGTTACTGCTTTGATCCAGTCGTTCTTGCAATCCATGTACAGTGACAAAACAAACCATCCCATATAAAAGACACATAAATCTTCCCTTATCTGTTGTACATATTATCCGAGCAATTATAACAGCTGCAAGTATGTGCTTGATCTGTCTCCTTCTGGGACTGCCATCAAAGAAGAGTGCTAGAGTGGGCTCTTCAGTTTACCTTAGGGCAAAACAAAGCTCATCCCTGGGCTATGTGTGGCTGTTTTTGTGGCTCTTGAACTCTCTCCAGGTCCCCCTTTTTCTGACCCCCCAAAAGTAGAGGGGGGACAGATAAATTACAGTGGATTCCAGTGTTGAACATCAGTTGTAAATATAAAGGAATAAATGAAAGCAGCAAAAGGTCTCCACCAACCAGTCCTGAGTCTTTCCCGCAGAGGTCTTTGGTCTCTGTGTCCAAGTTCCCTAAATATCAAGGCCTTGGTCTGTAAACAAAAGCAGGCTGTGCTGCCAGTTTCCACCCGTAACCTCTTGGGCTCCAGCGTTGAGGACCAGGCATCCTGCCATACAGTAAGGGGAAGTAATTGGACTAAATGAGAATGCCTGGGAGGCAGCTCTTAATGGAAGGACCAGCTGCTTGCCTTGCTCCCCTCCCCAAGGCAACGTGGTTGAATGTTCTCTTCCCAGAGTCCTCCACAGGTTTGCCAAGCGTTATTGACACGAGAGGATGGCCTTGCTCCAGTTAAGCAGCCTGTTCCTTCTCCCTTTACTCAGACTTCCTGTCCTATTCCCTTGTTTAAGAAGAAATGTAGAGACAGGGCTGTCGTATTTGTAATCTGTAATAGCAAATAGTAATTGGTAACCTTGGGAAAGGGTCTTTTTTATATTTGTGCATTTGCATGTGCATCTCAGAAAAGTCATCTCCTGTACACATCTGAAGGGGGATATTGTTATTCAGAAATTCAGCCTAACACCTGCAGTTGTTGTAATTGGTTTTATATCAACCACCACTAGGTT